ATAAAGCGGATTCTAAATAGACTAGCGGGTTAACTGGGATCTTTTAATATTGATTTTGAACGATGCGGGGTATTTATACGAGCTTAGAATAGTAATCAGAATGTAAATACCCTCAAATTTGGTAATAATATAGGAGTTTGAAGGTTTGGGGTTATTACGTATGAATAGATTTTACGTGTATGTCTGTAAAGGGGGGTGCCCGTGCAAAGTGGGGACTGACACCTCGTTTTCAACACACAGCGACGGGAAGTTCCCCCCTTTGTGACCCCAGTCCTCTCGCACGCTCCACGCTGATGAACGTCACCTCTCGACGGCTGCTTCAGACTTTACTCCTACATTTCATGCTCAAATGCCGGTTTTGGACTTTGGTTCATCAACGCTAGGCATTAAATGACCAAATAATACCCTAGAAGAGAATTCAGGATCGCCAAAGCTTCCATGTGGTCGTCTCTACTCGGAGATCCCAAGCGATATCCAGGGGGGCTTTCATCCAGTATTGCGACAGCAGGGAACCGCCCTACAAAACCACTACACGTGTGTGTCACGGTAAATCTGACCTACAACGGTTGTTGCGCAAAATTGCAGTCATGACAATAAAACACAATCGACGCCGCAATCTCGCAGGCTGACAAGGACCTTCATGTTTTTCATGCCTTTCAGCTGTCATCATAGGTATAGAGGAGAGGTGCTTTGCTTGATAGGTGATGCTTGGTTACTCCGAAAGCCATGGTGATGTGTTCAGGGCCTACCTAACCTCCATCATCTCAACCTGGGGAAAGCGGCTTACAAGGATCATTTCTGAAACACAGGTGCCCACTACACACAGATGCCGGCCGGACCAACCATCCCTATGACTCTCACAACTGATCACGGCGTTTGCCGCGCTTGTTCGACGACCCGGGGGACGACGGCTTTTGGTAATTATATCTGATGGAGTCCGATTGGAAAGTTTGACTGAGAATCAATGGAAGAATGAGTGTCAATGAATGGGTGTTAAGCGATGTTGTTCAGTTCGAGAGCGGCGTCTAATTTGTTGCGCTAAATGATTAGACGGCGGGAACGGCGACGTGCCGCTGCCAAACAGTCGTACTTGAACAAGCACTTGTCTGCCGCCCTTTTGATAACAACATGTAATCTCGTTGCGGAAGGGTATCTATCAAATCATCCGGCATTCTCATGAGCCCTTCCAATCGTCAATCATCCACCCATCTAGCTCCCTTTCTTCTTGCGCCTTCTCTGATTAACCCACCCACCACCCTTTCTCAAACGCGGCACACACACCCAATGATAAAACTCACTGTTTGCTATGCGAAACAGATCTGCCCGTCAGAGCCTTACGCCTTTTTCATGCCCTACGCCTTATGCTCATTCATGCAAACCAAACCACCCATGTTGAAACAACCGCCGCACACACGATCCTAATCCCAAAATGGTTGCGGATGGGAGCCGTAACATCTGCCTTATGTGCGCCCGCTCCCCTTGTCTTCTTGTTACTCGATCGGGAAACTGTCGTCCGCTTGGTGTGCCGTTATGCTGCCATGAAAAATAGAAAGAGGTCCTTCGGGAACCGAACATTGAGGTTTGCGGAGGGTTGGGAGTGTCAGATTGATGAAGTTGTTGTTGTTGTTGTTGTCGTCGTCGTCCCATCCCATATCCCGACTTCGTCCCAAATCGTCCCGTTTCTTGGCGGGACCATTCACCATGAATGATCGCATCGCGCCCGTCGATGAAGTTTATCAGTACCACACACGCACGCTGCGTCTAAAGCGAAACGTAGAACGTCACTTCCTGCCAGCGTTCTACTCAGCTCAAAACTGTTCGAGTGAGATTACTGTTGCTCATGCCGGAGGAGTATCATGGAAAACAACAAGCAAGTATTTGGCATCAGGCACAATCACGAGCTCCTGCTTTCTTGTTCGTAGTCGGAAGAGTTTGAGCTCGTCCTGTTTTGCAGCGTGTTAGTCGTCAATTTAAGCTTATTTTCGCGTGCTTGACCGGTACATTCTGTATCGGGCAATTTCCATCTCAAGTTCAGGACCTTTGTTCGTGGGGGTGGTGATGGGTAAGGGAAGCGAAAAGAAGGAAACCAAACCTACCTCCTCATCCAACTCTTGCACAAAATCGCCCGCATTCGACACAAAACTCCACACCATCGCTGCGAGCTCTGTGACGTTCTGATCGTAGGCGCTCACTGGTGCATTGCTGCTGCTTGTATTCCCCGTACTTGTGCTTGCCGCGGCAGGTGCGCCAGGTAGGTCACCATCCATCCCCGTCCCCGAAGATACCATCGTCGACGTTGCTGGTGTAGCAGCAGTAACTGCCTCTTCCCCCGTCGTCGTCACTGCCGTGCCGGGAGCGGCATCTGTGGTCGTTTGCGCAGCGCTATCAATCGAGGTAGGGGGCGGGAATGAAGGTGATAATGGTCCTTGCTGGTCGGTAACTGATTCAGAGGAGGGCTCTGCTTGCTGTGGTTGGGGCTTGGCTTTTCGGATTGAGGAAACTTGACCGCTGGTTTTGAGGATGGCACCCGAAGCGCGGTCGAGCACAATTGCGCCCTTGACGCCGGGCTTTTTGGAGAGACGGCCTAGGGTCTCTTCGAGGTGGGCGGAGGGGGAGGGTGACTGGTGATATTGTTAGTGAGGTTGTCGAGATGAGTGAAGGGAGGTGGGGGTACCGACTGTTGGGTCTGACATTGTGAGGTGATCTGTGGATTTGAGGTAGATGTGCGAGAGGAATTGGGTCTGCGCAAGTTCAAACGGTTCAAGGATCTAGGAATATGTGAAAGAGATTCAATGAAGCTATCGATGAGCTGTGAGAGAGCTCCCTTGCTCGTTCGGTGAGAGCTCCAGCTCCAGAAGCAACAAACGAACGAACGGCAGCAACAGCGGCCGGCCGCTGCTGTCCAACAAGGTACCCCTGCCGTTACCCCTGGCCGACAGCTGCCAAAAGTCTTGGCAGTCCATAGATTTTGCCGCATTACACCGCTAAAATTTCCAAACTCACCTCGTTCGCTCACTCTGCGCTTCACCACAGATACACTTACAAAGGGCCAAGGTGAGTACATCCATATCGCAATCGTTGATAAGAAGGAGACTGTGCGTCTAACAACTGTTTAGGCCAATACCTATCAAACACAGTCAAGATGGGTTCCAGCAATAAGAAAAAGAGGGAGAAGAAGAAGGACTTCAACGTATGTTCACTTCCATTCATTCATTGGGGTGTTGCTGTTTACGGCCCCTGGTTCTATCATGTGGTCCCCTTCCTTATCGGACACTCTCACTAACAAATATCATGACAACAGAAAGCCAAGTTGAAGGTTGGCAAGGCCAAAGCCAAAGCAGCCAACTTTACCGACACGAGCTTCAAGTCCAAATGTTTGTTGTCATGGGTCTTGTTATACTGAGTACACTCACTAACAATGTCCCAGCCATCGTCGTCAACCAACACACACTCGCCGCCCTCGACGGCGTCGATCTCGTCGGCCTCTTCAAGCAACACCTCAACCAAGCCATCAACTCCAAATCTGACAAGCTTCGCCAAGAAGCCCTCGTCCAATTAACCAAGGACCTCTCCTCCAAGCCCATCTTCAACCCCGTCGGCGTGCCCAATTTGTTGACGAAGCTCCTGCCGCTCATCACCGACTCGGTCGCCAACGTGCGCACCAACTTCCTCAAGCTCTTGCGCGCCCTTCCTCCATCCGACGTCGCCCCCCATGTAGAAAAAATCCTCATGTACATCCGCGGCGGCATGACGCACCTGTCGACCGACATCCGCTCCGACACCTTGTCAGTACTCGAATGGCTCATCGAAGTCTGCCCCGACGAGACCGTCTCCTGCCCGGGCGGGTGGCTCAAGACGCTCAACTCCTTTTCGTCAATGCTCGGTTGGAACCCCTCTGTCGCTTCCACCTTATCGGTAAAAGGCTGGACCAGCGCAACCAAGACGTCGCTCAACAAGGTCTCCAAAAAGAACGGCGAAGCGCAGGCGAAGCAGATCACCATCCTCGCCAAGTTTTTGGAAGCTGGGTTTAGGCCGGAGACGCCGCTGCCGTATGACGAGCAGAGGTACTGGGATAGCATCTACAGGATGCCGACGGTGCCGAACCCGTTTGCTTACTTGAATTTGTGGGGTGCGCAGAGAGATGAGGATGGGGAGATGTATCCCGATAGGATCTCGAGGCAGCAGGTTTTCGATAGGAAGTGGAGGGCGGCCATCAAGACGGGGGTGATGGGGGCGAAGCAGGAGGGGGGTGTTATCGGCAGGGCGGCGTCGGTGTTGGATAAAGTTTTGAGGAATGCGGCCGGAGAGGGTGTGAAGACTGTGGTGGAGGAGAAGATGGAGGAGGTGGAGGAGGTTGAGGAGGTTGAGGAGGTTGAGGCTTGAGTGGTTGTATAGCCATGGTTCACGATGATCTTCTGCTAATGATCTGGGAAATCTGGGAAAGGACAGGGCTCCATTGTGTGGTTTGATTTTAGGTTCTTCTCGGTTGTATAGGTTTTATGATTCCCTCTTGTTGTTTCGTTCACTCAGAATGCCCCTATTTTGTCGATGCCTCCTCCTATGCCACTTGATACCTCCCGGTTGTACTTCAACGAAGGCCAACTAACTCCGCGATAATTCCGAGATATTGGAGGATGAATATATGGTCCGTCACTGACACTAGAACTACGAGTAATCATCATATCTGGCATACTCGCCTGTCAACGGAATCTCGAGCCTCCAGAAGGGTGTCTATGTCGTCACCCACCACATCGGCAACCGGTATTCGCTCATTCACTCAACAACTCGGGAGCAAACTTCGTTTTCTCATAGGAACCGTATTCGCACCTTCCATTCACTTCACTGCCCTTTACCTCCCTTCCTTAGCGTACCTTCCATCTTCCATCCCAACCGACCTCCCGTCCACCTGCCTGCCTGCCTGCCACCTGTCCAAGCACCTTATAACCCCATTAACTTGCAGTCCCATCCAACAACAACACACACTGACTGCATGGCAGAACGGGTATGTAGAGTAATGGCAACTCATCAGACTTCTAATCTGAGGATTGCGGGTTCGAGTCCCGTCATACCCTTTGTTTTTTGCACTTTTTCTGTCTTTTATTCTTTGTAACACCTTGGTCGCCGTGTATTTTTCTGTTATACTTGTTATGTACTTACTTCCTTTTGCCAATTATTCTGCTTCTTGGTTTTATTCTCTCTACTCCTCTTCATTTATCTGTCTTTTTGTATGAGCTCTTTTGTATCCCTCATGAGATGTTTGACATTTCTATGTATGTGAAAATGAAAGAACTATAGTGGGAAGTGTTTGATGACATGAATTGCAGGATATGGTTTTTTCTTTTCTTCAAAATCGCCGCCAGCTTCTGTCCCCAATGATCACATGAAGCCACCAGAGTGGAGATCTCCAAGAGTTACCGTGATTGAACTGTAGTGTGAAGGATTTCTTGAACATTCGCGGTACGTGGTTGAGTCATAGTAATTTTTGCGTTACGTGAAAAACATAAACGCATGTCCTATAAACAATACTGGATAGTCGTCCAACAGACGGATGTCATGCTCCATCATTGAATATCCAAGCTTTTATACTCCAGTCGAGCAAATATTGATACAAGTAATATGTGCAACTTTTCCCCCCATGTACAGACAACAAGTTCAGCATCAACATCTTACAACTCTTTCTTCTCCTCTGCTACCTTAGCAGTCTTCACCCTCTCACTCCCCGGCGGCGTCTTCAACGCATACAACACCAATAGCGCCACCCAGCTCATCCCCAACGCACCAATCCCATACGCAACCTCTCTGCCCGCCCACCAATACACGCTCGTAAACAACACCGGGCCCAGTCCGCGTCCGAGCTGTCCCCAACTCCTCAACATCCCGAGCTTCCCTCCTCTCTCACCCTCATGCGACTCAAAGCTGCTAAGCGCATTCAGCCCTGTGACAACCGTCGCAGACGTAGTCGCCAGCAGGGTCGCCGCACCATACAGTCCACCCACAGAAGTAATGCGGCCAAGCATGATGAACGCCAACAAGCACGCTACTACGCCGATACGGACGGAAAGAAGGGGAGGCAAGCGACGGATGACGCCGCCTTGGAGGATGGAGGCGATGAGTCCGACGAATCCCAAAAGACGACCGTTTTTGGCCGAGTCGTAAGCGAAAAGGTCGTAGGTCATGAACGGCAGGGAAAACTCCATTCCGGAGAAGAAGAGGAGGAAGGTTAGGTGGGTGAGGTTGAGGAGGAAGTGCGAGTTGGTGCGCTGGACTGCTGTCGCGACGTGAGTAGCTGCTGCGGGTTTGTTCTTCTCTTCGGGGGTGGTTTCGGTGCCGTTGACGTTAACCTGGGCGCCAGTAGGTCCAGTATTTTGGGTCAGTGCCGGCAATGTCTCGGGAAGACAGAAATAGAGGTATAACGTCTCGACGACGATCAAAGTCAAAGAAACTCCAGCAGCCGTCGCGAAGGGGTTGGCGGCCACGGTGCTGAAAGAGCTCAGCCAGGCGCCCAAAGCAGGGCCAAAGGTGAAGGCGATGGAGAAACAGGCGCCTATGAGGGCCATGGTCGAGCCGCGCTTAGAAGGGTCCGAGATGTCGGTTGCGATGGCCGTGGCGAGCTGGACGTTGCCTTCGGAGAGACCGCCGACGATGCGCGAGGCGAGGAAGGTGCGGAAGTCGGTGGCCATGACCCAGAGGAGGACTGACAAGATATTGCCCGTCATGCTGAGGAGGAGGGCGGTGCGGCGGCCATAGCGATCGGAGAAGTGGCCGATTATGGGGGAGGCGATGGCTTGGAGGAGGCTGGCGCCAAGAAGATGGGTTAGCAAAAGTCAATTATAGTGACAGTGGAGCCTGTGACATACGAAAAGAGACTCCCCAAGGCGCCGCCGAGCAGAACAATATCATATCGCGAGTCAATTGGTCGCGCAAAGGCAGCCTTGTAAGTGTTAAGGTAGCCCAAGACATTGGAGAGAAGAGTCTTGGATGGGGGAGCCGAAGGGTCGAGGGGAGCTTCGACGTTGCGGTAGAACTCGAGTAGCTTTGGGAATAATGGAAGAATAAAGGTAAAGGATATCTGAATATTGATCTTCTGTTAGTTGTGTTTCCGTGTTGGTCCAAAGTGGTTCGGGGCGCAATACTGCACGTACCAAGTCTAGTAACAGAGAAAAGAAGATAACTTTCAACACCCTCTTGCGGGTGGCGGGTTCGACGGGCGTCGTCATCCCTGCGCTGAAGCTTCCAAGACGAACGGCAACGCAAGTTCCTTTCCAGTTGTTGTATAGGTAGCTGTGAAGCAGTGAGACCTCGAAATCTCACAGTTGTTCGGATTTCGGGACCGGAAATTTGGAGGTTCGAAGTTGGGAAAGTCAGGAGATGGAAATCGGAGCTGTCTATGATGGACGGGAAGGTTGAAGCGACGTCACGCTGCTTGAAACGCCCAGAAGACTCCTGGGGATCCCTGAGGGCCTGAGGGTCCACTAGTCACTATAGAAAGAGAGAGGACGACGGGAGGTTGACGTTTCACAACCTGCAATTGGCAAATACTGCAAGGTATGTCTGGAAGAAAAGAAGCTGTATTGACTATGAAAGCGACCGAAGAAAGACACTCTGAACAGAGTTACAGAAACCACAGAATCGAAAACTGTCCCAAACCAAACATTTGGGAGTTCAATTGGGGAAATGTCCATCGAATGACAAGCTGGGCTGTTCTGGAACATGGCGGGAGCTCCGAATATTTGATGGACCCCAAATGGCTAGAGCCTAGAGGTACCTTGGTGCCGGGGGCAATTGGAGATCCTGACCGGCAGGCAGCGCATATAGTTATGGAAGGATAAAGCCACATCAGATGACAGCCACGTGTGGCACGGCTCACAGCAACAACATCTTCCCCGCAACGACCTGCACCTTCAACTCCAACACGGCAGCTGTCTCTCATGCAAATCACCAAGGCACAACCACCACGACCTGAGTCAACCTCATCACCACCACATCTTTTCTGTCTTCCATTTTCTTCCCAAAACGGACTTTGTGGTCGGCGCCATGTTTCAAGGTCGAACCACGGTGTATCCCCAACCAAGATATTCAAGACAGAACTGTGGCCCGCCACCATCTATATCTAACCCATATTACTGCCATATCCCATCATCTGTCTCTTTTCTTTCCCAGGGCTTCCCTTCTTAAACGGCGTCGAGCAAGGTGTTGTGTACACGCTGTCGTTGCCACTCTTTTTCTGTTCAATATCTGCTCAGAAACCTCTCATTTCCACTCGTCGGTGGAACAGTCTCTTGAGAAGTCCAGGGTCATTATCGCGAAGTTGACTCTCGAGAATTCCAGGGCCAGTATCGAAGGATTGACTCACGGGTAATACCCAGATCTCGGGCAATGATGCTGCCACCGCCGTCATTGGGAAGCTGTAGTGGATATGAGCAAGGCGAACGGGGCCATACTGGCTACTCTTCGTCTCATATCAACATGGCATCACAAGCCGCAATGGATCGACGCAAGTCCCCGAGCAGACTCACCGGGGCAACCACAAGCGTGCGAGCCCTTGCATCATCCCGTCTTTTTGCCTAAGTTTACCGGACACGATCTGCCGCATATACGATGTTTCCGCTTGAGTACATCATCACATCAGAAAAAGGGCTGGCCCTATTCTTGTGCCGCCTCAAGTCAGGCTCTAGAACTGTGCCTGATCTAGACCAGAAGAGGCCATCTCAGATTGACTACCAGTCGAGAAATTGACGATCCCGTCTTCCTCTATGACCATTTCGCCTCACCTTTGCTTCCACGCATAAAGCGCTATGCACACAGAACGGAGATGGCTTACCTTACATTGTAACAGTACATGCGGGAACATGCTGACTGCCGGCACATGGCTGAACACCAAGAAAATGCAAAGAAGACGCAGGGGGGAAGAGGCACTGCAGCTGGTGGCTGCGTCAGTCCCATGGACGGTTGAGTCCATACTTCCAAAGAAGCCAAATTGGACGTTCGTATATCTGGTTTGAACATGCACGACAGGACTCTCTTCCCCGTTTGGATTTTCCACCGAATAATCACTGACCTTGCCTACAGAAACAAGAAAAATCTCCAGTTGAATTCGGGTGGATCAGGGGAACGCCTCATGGATATCCAGGCTGCGTCCGTTCGCCTGTGTTCTGGTCCTGAGCCATGCGTAACCCGAGAGCTGGTTTCCAAGCATCTTCAGGCGCACCACCTTTGCAGTCCGACAATGTCTCGAATTCATGCGCCGTAGAGGGTCTATTATGATTTCGAGACACTCGGTCTCTACTGTCGCCCGTTTAGCCGCCCAGACCGACCCGTTCACCTGCTGTCAGTGTACGCAGTAACGCGGCGCCTCTTGGTGACCCGTCAGGTTGTCGTCCGTGTCCGGGTTCCCCAGTCGTGACTTCACTCTTGTCGCCGTTGTGCCCAACCACGGCTTTGGATACTCCAACCGCAGCTGGTAAAGAGCATCCAGCCGAACGTTCTTTGTGCTGCCCTGCCATGTTTCTCTGACATTTCACAAGAAGGAGGCGGGTACGGGAAGCTGATACCACGGTAACTTAAAAGGGCCCCTTCCTACCCGTTTCTGGGACTCTCTCGGGCCATCCCTCAGTATCACCGTCGTTCATTCTCCAAGGCACTCACTCCTCAGTCATCCAGACCGTTTCTCAAGGGCACCTCTACCATCCGTAGCCGGAACACAAGGAGGATGAAGACCACCACCTTCGCTCTGGCCTGCGCCGCCTCGGTGTCTGCTCACTACGGTGACGTCTCCTCCATTTTCGAATCATGGGGTGCAGGCTCTGTCAGTTATCCTCCGGCCCCGGCCCCTACCACTACTGCTGCCGGTGGTCCTGATAAGGGCGGTGACGGACAATGGACGACAAGTACCGTCTATACGACGGCAGTCCATACTATCACCAGCTGCCCACCTGCTGTTACCTCATGCCCGGATCATAGCACCGTGGTCACTACCGTCACCATTCCGGTTAGCACCACCGTCTGCCCTATAAGCTCCGGAAGTCCTGCGCCGCCACCGCCGCCACCTCCTCCTCCGGCACCGCCTGCATCA